ATAACTGTGTCCTCCTGAAAGCAGAAAGAAGGCTATGGGTATGGGGGAGCCAGAAAGAGAGGATCAGGAGGGCAAGGAAGAGAAACAGGAGAGGGGCTGAATAAGAACAAAATATGTATGAACATGCCATAATTAAATCTATTACTTTACATGCTAGCTTAAAAATAATAAAATGATTGGGTTTAGATAATCTTTAAAAGAAATAAGGGGCTTGATCTGGGTCAAGTGGTGATTTTTTTTTCTCCTTCATATATGAATACATTTTATTTTTATCAAATCCATTCCTCACTCCCCACCTTCAGCTTTTCCTGGGTTTGTCCCACCTCCTTCTTCCTTCCAGTTTTATGTCCCTCTATGATAGAGATGACAGATAGATATAAATAGATAGATAGCTAGATGATGACAGATAGATATAGGTAGGTGGGTGGGTGGATAGATAGATGATGGATAGAGATAGATCGATATAGGTAGATAGATTATAGATAGAGATAGATAAATGATGGATAGAGATAGATAGAGGATAGATATAAACAGGTAGATAGATATAGATTATAGATAGAGATAGATAATGGATAGATAGATAGATAGATAGATAGATAGATAGATAGATACGGACCTATTGAGTCCAATTAGTGTAATCCAAATGCAAGTGAGTGTGGGGCTGTCTATTATAGTTTGGGACCTACCCACACTGCTGAGAAACATGACTTCATTCCTCTGGTAGCCACTGACTGCCTATAGCTTCTCAACGAGGAGTGGGGGCCTTGTGAGCACCGCCCTGCCCTCCCCCAAGCATGCCAGGATATTGACCAGATTGATCTTGAGAGTCGTGAGTAGCACCCACAACTGTTGAGAACTCATGGATACAACTTCCTGTCGTGCCTGGAAGATGGTTTGGCGACAGTGCTCTGGGAGCTCTGGCTCTTGCTGTCTTTCCACTCTTGGGGAGACATTCCCTGAGCCTTGGGAGGAAAGCATGTGATATGGATGTCCCATTTAGGAAGGAGAACACCACTGATGCTGATTCTCTGCAATTCAATCTCTTGTTCCTTCTGGTAACCGCCCTCCACTTCTAAAAGCGTCTTGGAGCTGAACAGACAGATGGCTTAATGGTTAAGAGTAATGGCTAGTCCTCCAGAGGATCTGGATTCGATTCCCAGCACCTACATAACCACTCACAGCCCTCTGCAACTCCAGCTCCAGAGGATCTGACACCCTCTTCTGGCTCCCTCGGGCCTACACATAAAATAAAGATATACATTCATATTTTTAAAAAAGGAGCTTCTCTGACGAGAGGTGAGAGATCCAGCAATGTTTCTGTCACCTTATTCACAGAAGCCAGTGTTACACAGAAGCCAGAGAGCAAAGGGAAGCGAGAGGTGTGGCAGAGGACACACGTTTCAAAGTTTTGATCTAGACCTTCACTCCCTTCCCCAAATAACAACTGAGGCTCTGCTGGTTGATATTGGAACAACAAGGGGACACAGAAGTTCTTTATAATATATCCAAACCAGAGCAAGCACCTTTCCAATCTTAGTCCTCCTCTGGGCTCTGTGTTGCTATCATTTGGTTTTGGGATTTCTAATCTTCTTATAGGCCAGTCGCTGGCTTTCGGCCTCTATATCCCAAGAGTCAGGCTCATGTGTTTGTGTTTTTCCATGATTTTCCATCTCCTTAGGTTCCTGGACTGCTTCCTTTGATGCTAACAGTAGCAAAGAGGGTGGACTGAGGCTCTGTGTGGGCTTTGACAGAGTTTTGCTCTCAATCACATTGCTAACAGGAAGGAACATGAGTGGCCTTTGCAGGGGTGTCATTGTGGGTATTTCAGACAATTTCGGAGCTTGTTTTCCATGGGAAAGGGGCCAGAGTTGCTTCCTCTCTCATGCTTATGATTTAAGTAAAGTTACCAATAGCATGGATTGGCACAGAGTAAAACACCCAGCGGATATTTAGGAATCTTTCCTCCTGCGTCATTATCCTGTAACCATGGTAACAAGGATTCTTAGGGTTGTAGATTTTTGTAAAACCACTATAGTTGGAAGGTTGACAAATATTGTAGCATGAGTAGAAATGACTGTCTTTGTAATATGATATGATCTTCAACATGGGAATGAATGTGTCTTTTTGTCTAAAACCCACTAAATATATTATATATATATATGTACTGGAGAATGTGTTCACTTGCCAATCTGCCATGTAAAAATCAGGCACATGCTAACTAAATAAGTCATAAAATTAAAATCATGATTTCAGTGCATCACTCTTCGTGGCCCTCACCTGAAACATCTGTAATGGGCAAAATCAGAGAATAGGAATGTCTTTAGGCAGTAAAAGAAACTGAGGGGCCAGAGAGAGATGATTTAGCAGTTATGAACAGTGGCTGGGGTGTTGGTGGCGCACACCTTTAATGCCAGCATTCGGGAATCTTTCCCGAGGCAGGTGGATCTCTGTGAGTTTGAGGCCAGCCTGGTCTACGGAGCAAGTTCCAGGAGAGCTAGGGCGATTACACAGAGAAACCTGTCTTGAAAAAAAAAAAAGAAAGAAAGAAAGAAAAGAAAAAAAAGAACACCGGCTGACCATCCAGACGACCTTGGTTTGATTCCCAGAACCCACATGGTTGATCACACCCCTTTGTAATCTAGTCCTAGGAGATATTACACCTCTTCTGACCTCTGAGGGCACCAGGCAAACACATGGTACACAAACATACATGCAGGCAAAACACCCATACATACAAAATTAAATTAAATAATCATGTCTGAAGTGGGATAGGTGAGCCTTCTCCAGGGATAGGGTCTGCTCACCAGCATGGGTGCTTCTCAGACAGATGATCATAACATCCTCCTTCTCTGAAACCAACGGTGAACAGGATGCCCATTGCTGTTTGTCTTGTACCTAGAGAACTGCAGAACACTCCTTGTCCCATATGGCTAATAATGCATACCTGAGACTGTAATGTCAGATTTACATGAAGAGTTTTATCTCTCTTCTCCAGGGTCCTGATGCTTTTACTCATTCACTTCTAAATGAGTTTGATTTTAATGGCTTATACCGAATATCTTTAAAACATGTTGCATAAGAAATAACCCTGTTGTACAAGTGTCCTAAATGCATTTGCGCTGACTAGATGTGCAGAATGATTTAGAATGGGGACCCTGGTCCACAGCTGTGTTACTGACCACCATCCATGCGCCTCTCCGAAGGGTTCACAATGTGTTTCCAGGCAACAGGAACCAGACTTTGGAGTTTGTGCTTTTCAAAGCCTGTTACAGGCCTAACCCAAGCCAGAGCCACTGTTGGAAATGCGGACTCCTTACATTTAGCCCAGAACACAGTGGCCTTTGTTTTAGCCTCTGGCACAGCCCAGCCCAGGAGTTTCTATCAGAGGATCTAATCTCTCCTTTCCTGTGTCAGATCAGATGTGTTAGCTATAAACTCAGCATCACAATATATGTCAGTGTCAGAATAAGGGGAAAATCTTGGAATAATTTAACCAAGAGCAAGCTGGAGTTTGGATTCCCCATGCCTCTCCCTGTGTATTCTCTCTCCTGTCTATGATCTGTCTGTTGTATGAGCCTGAATCTGTGCCTGCCTCAGTGCTGTCTTGTGAATCTGTGTGTCTGTGTGTGTGTGTGTGTGTGTGTGTGTGTGTGTGTGTGTGTGTGTCCTAACAAAGGGCTTTTGTTCTGTATTTGTTGAACAGCACAAAAGTATCACACAGGAAGGAATTGGAGATACCTTGTAGAAATCTTTAACAGGGTTTTACAAGGGATGAAACTTTACTTACTCCAACTGACACAGCTAATAAATAAGAAAATGCCATCAAGCAATGTCCACATGTTACTTCCATGAGAGATGTTTAATGTATAAAGTTGCTTTCAACCTATTTGTTGTTTTCAGCATTTATTACCATGACATGTATACATGAATGTGTTACTCATGGGTCAGGAGTAATATATGCATGCGTGCATGTTAATTTAAGATTAAAGCTACACCTGAGCTTAGGCTTTCAACATTGATTACATGGGGAAACTTAAGGCAGTCGAGGTTGCTTCTTACGTTGTTCTCTTAAAGGCGGGTTAAACAAACAGGCTGAGTACCCGGTAGGATAGCAGTGACCTCAGGATGTGCTTGCTATTAACTCATCTGTGTAGTCCAGCAAAAGTCCCGGACTCCTGGGATGTAACACAGTTTCATAATATTAGGTCAAGACTAGAGCAAGGATTTTCAAAGCCCAGTCCCCCATCAGGAACTGTGTAAAACTTCACTTAGTCCAGAGTCCTCTCTAGACACTCTGTGGTCCTCCTCTCTGTGACAGTCGGTGGATTCTAGGTCGTGCACTGTGATATAGGGGAATTAACTCCTTGCAGTGTATGCTTGTGTCCCTGACACAAGTGTATGCTCACGAGAGTTCACACAGTGTCTTACACCTACGGGATCAGATTTAGCCATTTATTCAGTCACTCAATCATTCACCCATCCAGTAAATAGAGTTATAGTCACTAATACATACTGGGAACCCTGACTCCTTATCTTCCTAATTCTCTGACCCTTGGGGGGCCCCATTCTTCTTGAGCTTCCTTATTCTCCCCTGTGCCACAAGATCATATAAGGGTCACCATACCTCCCACAAACCCAGACCCCAGAGCCTGAATCTGCGTCCTTGTCAGTGGCCCACAATAGGCCCATTCAGAATCTGTGAGCTGGTCAGGGGTGCAAAAATGGAAGCCCGGGTGTGTGAAGGGGATCCGATTTGGGCAACCAGGACTTTATGCTCAAGATGGGCAGTGGTATAGACCGTCTAAAAGAGAGTCCATTTGATGTCCCGGGGAGAGAGATGTGGGCATGACCTGAGATTGTAGATAATGGTATGGGTATGCCCTTGGGAATGGGGCCCGAAAAGGCAGAACTCCTGTAGGAGAGACATGCAAGCTGATGGGGCATTTTGTTTCTCTGCAAATGCTGTGTCTGATTACAGTTGAATCCCAATTCCCTTGCAGATTAGTACAGATGCACCCAGCTTAAGGAAGACAGATCTGAAAGGTCGGAGTGCACTGTTGGCTGATATCCAGCAAGGAACACGCCTGCGAAAAGTCACCCAGATCAATGATCGCAGTGCCCCACAAATTGAGGGTAAGTGAGCAGCTCAGTGAAGCCTTTTGGGGGCCGGGAGGCAGGGCAGGGGATGGAGAGAGCACAGCCAGACACTGGCTGAACTGTATATGTGACCCATGCACTCTCAAACCACCTCAGACATGCTTAAGGGACAGGCCACGCCACCAGGAAAGAGAGTCAGACCTTCCTTTCCAAAAGTCCATAGATGGTAGAGGCTGGAGTGTCTTTCATTACTTTTCAGTAACAAAACAACAACAAAATAACCAAACAACAACAACAAAAAAACCCTTCATGATAACTATTGTTTTTAAATTGATAAAATACATATAATGCATTTCTCCATTTTTAATTGTCCCATTTGCATGTCATCAGAATGTCAGCTTTCACAATGCTGTTGCAATCATCCCTCTTTTTCATTTGGTCAAGACAGCAAAAAATTAACATGTTATATCCAGAACTACTTATAATGTTAGGCATTATTATGACATCATATATTTCAAAATGATGGCAATTCTCAAAAATAGCCCTGTAACAATTATTGTACCTCAGTAATGTGTTAATGCATAAGGACACACATTTTTAAAGGGTTTTTTTCTTAATTGTGTATAGGTTTTGTGTGTGTGTGTGTGTGTGTGTGTGTGTGTGTGTGTGTGTGTGTGTTTGCGCACGCGTGCACTCATGCACGCGCGCATGCTCATGCCTGTAGACATGCCTATATGAGTACAGGTGCCTGTAGGAGCCCGAGGCACCAGATCCTCTGGGGCTGGAGTTGCAGCAGGTTGTTAGCTGCTCAGTGTGAGTGCTGGAAACTGAAGTCAGGTCTTCTGAAAGAGCAGTGCATGCTCTTAACACCTGAGCCATCTCTTGAGTCCCAAAGATAGACACATTTTAAAAGAAACCTTTTCAACACTGATTATAATAAGGTCTGTCTGATTAGACTCATCATCTAATGGGTGAAGCTCAATTAGCAGACTGATATCATTGTCACATCTACTTCCTAGTCACACCGATATGAGTACTGTGTATAATATTCAGAACAATCTGGCCGCTCAGCCACCAGTGGGCACCACGCCCTAATTGCTGTGTGTTGACCTTAGCTTGTGTCTTAATTATTTTTCTATTGCTATGATAAAACACTGTGACTAAGACAAGTTATAGAAGAAAAAGTTTATTTGGCTTCATGGTTCCAGAGAGATGAGAGTTTGTGATGGCAGAGCAGGGGCATGGCAGATGGAGCTGGAAGCTGGGAGCTTAGATCTTGAACCACAAAGAGGAAGCAGAGAGCAAACTGGAAATGACTGGAATCTTTAAACTCTCGAAATCTACCTCCAGTGACCTACTTCCTCCAACAAAGTCAATCCTCCTAAACGTCTTCAAACAACGCCATCACTTGGGTACCAAGTGTTCAGATACCTGAGACTATGGGAAGCATCTCATTCAAAGCAGGAATTCTTGTCTAGGTTCGGTACTCTCTGAGTTTCTACAGTTGGTAGCCACAAGATCTGGAAGACAGGGGTTAGTGACATCCACATGGGACATTCTGATCCATAAATAAAAAAAAAAATTGCAGGGAAGAAAGAGCTGTGCAGGGAAGTGTGAGCTGCTTGGGGCCTGAAAGCTAAGTTTCCTGAAAGGAAAGTTCCAAAGCAGAAATCTCACAGGCCTTTACTTCCTGCTTGAAGCCCTGGTCAATACTTTGGCTAAGAAGTTAAAATGTCTGGGTGAATTAAGTCTGCGCTTTTGGTGGGTGAGGGGAGCCTAGACCTTTCAATGCCAAGTTGAGTTTTCTAATTTGAGTCACAAATGGTCAGCACTTTGGTAGGACTAGAGAGGACAGATGACAGGCTTAGGCAGGGGTAACATGCTGAGTGAAAAGGGTGACACTGACCTACAGTGAGAATGGCCTGCTCAGCTATTCCTACTTATCTTCTTGCCTCTTCTCTTCAGGTTCAAAGGGAACCAACAAAGATGGAGGAAGTGCTGGCAGCAATGCTCGAGGAGGAAACACACCCCCTGCTCTAGGAGATCTCTTTGCTGGTGGTTTTCCTGTGTTAAGACCAGCAGGCCAGAGGGATGTGGCAGGTAAGGAAAGGTCCAGCCTGGTGGCCTGGTGGCCTGGTGGTCTTCCTTTATGCTCTCAACAGGTGGGACACATGCTTCATAAATGGTTGTATAGTTTGAATTTGTATATATGAGAACTTTAATCCTGGAAGTTCCCAAAACACAGAATTGTTCTCTGGGAATCTTTTAAAATCTCATCTATTTTAAATTGCTTCATCGTAACTAAAGAATGACTTGTTTAGCAAAGGTGTCATGTTAGAGTGGCATTCACAACAGACATGCCAATGCTGCGGATCCACTAACTTTGTGTTGAGTTGTAGTAACTCTCCATCACTGTATCAGTTAGACACTGCAGGGTACTCAAATGTAAAAATGTAGGCACTTTAACCAACTGCTTATTTAGGCCATAATTCTGTCCATTAGTAGCCTTAGCTAGGCTCCCTAGCATCTGTAAATAGCTGCATTTGGAGAAGCAGCTTACTTCACCTATCTCTGGGGCCTCAGCTGGAACAACTAGACTGACTGTCCCCAGAGCCACACGGTCTGCAGCAGGCTTATTGAGAGCCTGTCACCATGTTAGGTCTCAAGAGAGAAGCAAGACCTGCATGGTTTCTTCAGACTGCCCTGGGCTTGTCAGGAGCTAACTTAGAAGTCTACCAAGTGTTACTTCCTGTTCCCTCCTCTAGGTCATAGCAAGGGACAAGGCCAGCCAGGACAGGAAGTGGACACCTGCACACTCTCTCTAAAATGGCATAGGAGGGCCTGATCCAGTCACTGAGGCCATTAGGGGGCCATAGCCTACAACAATAATTTATGCTTGTGTGGGCATTCAGTATTTTAAAATCATCAGATTAAAACTTGGGCAGATACACTGTTTCTGTGAGGGGCACAAAGGGTGTTTTGCTTGTTATTGCCTTGGAGGAGGACAGCTCCTGAGAGGCAACGTGCGGCTGCCGCGCGTGCAGCCTACGTACCTGCATAGTTTACTACCACGCAGCTGCAGAGACATCAGGCGTGTGAGTCCTGCACGCTGCCCACTCACCTGGAATTTCCTTCCCATCTTGCTGGTCTAACCTAGAATGTGTTCCACTTCCAGGTGGCAAGACCGGGCAGGGCCCTGGCTCCCGAGCGCCTTCTCCCCGGCTCCCCACCAAAGCCGTCAGCGGCCCCCTTCCTGCCCCTGCATCTCCCAGGCTGGGCAATGCCTCGGAGGCGCACAGCTCTCCCAGGCCCATCCCTCCTCGCCCC